AAATGCAAGGACTTAAAAGCTATATCTCTGAACAGTACTGTTAATGAGGAAATCATATTTGTTTATATAAAAGCTGGTTAAAAGATAAAGCCAGAGTTTGTGGTCTACTGTTTACCTTCGGTTTTTAATCAAGAAAATAAGACCAATAGATAAGCTTTCCTGCACACCTTTGAAATATCTACACCAGCCTTCACTTTAAAGGGAGAAAGTCTGTACATTTCCCCAAAGCTGTAGTACCTACCTCAGGGTGTGCAGCTGCAGTGATTGCAAATCCAGTAATAATGAATCAATTATTTTACAGTCCTTTCTCTAAATTGATTAAAAGGGTCCCATTTTCAGTTCCAACTGCGTGTTGTTTTGTGCTACTGACTATACCACCTAGAGACCTAAAGACTTTACTAATTTAAAAAATGCTACTAGTTAATTTTGTGTATAAATGCATTTTGGTGTTTAATTTTTGTGTATAATTGGGTTTTAGTTTTTTTCCTCTGTCTTTTCCCCATCTATACATTGTGATAAATTGAAGATACAGCTGTTTCATGCCTTCACTTTCCACGACGGGTAAAGGTATTTTAGAATAGTTTTTGCAGGCAGACCTATGGTGGTTCTGCTGAGTGTCACTGTGGCAGGAGACATGTGAGCTGCTGTCCAAAAACCAGTGTTTCTTAGTGTGGCTCTGTGCTCGCAGCAGGACTTTGTCTTAGTGTGAGCCCAGGTCTGGGGTTGTGGCAGTGATACTTCAGGAGGAGACCTTTGGGAAGTGCTTGGATCAGAGCTTATGTACATCTGGTAGCTGGGTAAAACGAGACCAAATCTACAGAAAAGCTTAGAAAGAGGTTTTGTGTTTCCCACAGGTAAATCCAGCACAAGACTTGAGAGCAGTCCATGAAGAAAGATCTACACCTCCTATGTCTTGTCTGACCCTTCAAAATTATAGTCTGGGTGGAGACTTTATTTGGGCCTATAGAAATCAGGCCCTTGGGTTCTACATTGAGGACTGCGCTGCGTTTCTTAAACCCAGCTGTTATTCAAGCAAGGACTGTGTGAACATGCAAGAAACGATCTGTGATGCCTGAAATTACCAGTTTTAGAATTATCCTTACCAAAAGAAGACCAGCTGTTTTGAGATGAGAGAATAGTAGGAATATTTGCTGACTGATGAGAAGTTCACTGACTTGTGAGAACTAAAACATCTCAAAAACTATAACAAGTCCTTGTAAATGTATTTCTGAATTACAGTTCTTATATTCCACAAAGCTGATGCTGAGGAGTAGGGGAAACCATTTTGCTTAGAACAATGTAGAATCATCTGCAGTGGAGTGCAAATGGGATCAAACTGAGAGAAGAAGAAATTAGGCTGTGTGTCAGGCATTATGAACTAAGAGTTATTTGACTGTGAAAGAGCTTCCCAAGGGAAATAATACAAGCCACATTATTTGGGACACCTAAAATTAGACTTCAGAAAGCACTAAAAAAAAGTGTACAACCTTGCTTTTGTAGGGAGGTGGACTAGAAAAGGCAGGGTTTGGGATTTTCTTCTTTTTTTTTTGCAATAAATTCTGCAATTGTTGGGCCTGATTCTGTTCTATGGTGTTTAAGTCAAGCTAAGATTTACATTGCTTCTTCTCTTAGCAAACTGAGGCTAAACACATAGGTTTCTCCCTTCCACCTATTGCCAACTTTTGAAACTATATCTTTTTATTTCTGTCCCTCAGGGATAGTTCAGATCCTGCTCTTCCAATCATAAATATGTATGTTTAGAGCAGTGGAGAAAGAGCACATTGCCTTAAGGATCTTTTTTGACATTTCCCTCTTGTCTGGCTCTTATCAGACGTTAGAACTGATCAATATGATATTCCTTTATTTTTTTTAATTCAGAATTTATTTAGCTTATAATGTGCAAATCCATAACCTCAGCATGTTCTAAAGTTATTGTGTGAAATTGCCAACAGAATGAGGGGAGAGGCAAATGAAATACGGCCTTTAACCAAGGAACAAAGGCCTCCAAGTAATGTGTGTTGATATACTGAAAGTGTTGCAGTCTTCTCCATAATTTTCTTTCAATACAAACCACTTGAGATAGCTGCAGTAATACAAAAGAGGTTCTCACAACAAATCCTACATATTAAAAATTGTAGATCATGCAGTTATGACTAAATCCTAAGAGCCAGTTGTTTTTTCTTGTAAGTTAGCTTGAAGATGCCTGCCTTTATTGACATACAGTGTCTACTTCTGAGAGTGGCAGCACTCCTTTCAAAGCCCACTTGAACAAAGAGAGCCCTTATGTGGAAAATGGTTCTTCACTGTGTAGGCAATACCCTGTAACAGTTGTGGTATAAAAAGCATGACTTTGCCTGTGTGCACAAAAGCATGCCAAGGTCAGGACATCAAGCCTCTGAATTTGTGGTAAGAGACGAAGGCACATATGCAGAATTTTCTGAAAGATGGTTCATTTGTAGAGGATTTGAAACAGCATGGGAGGAAATCTCTATGGTGTCTAGAGCATTTCATTCGAGGCCTGCTTTTTACTGCTCCCTGAAATGCATTTTTTCTTGCTGTCACTGGACAGGAGGATTCAGGATATGGGAGTGGGATACACGGTGAACACTTCCTCTGCACTGAATAGATGGTCACACAGTTTCTAGTCCTGCAATTTAGGCTGCATGGTTTGGAGGAACGGGTGCTGGGGCAAGGACTGGTGGAGAGGCAGCTAGAAAAGTCACCTGATGGCATTTCAGATTGTGACTTCTAAATACCAAGATCTGATTCCCATTTCCTTTCTCTCACTGCTGCTTGCCTCCAGTGTGCTTTACCTCCTGCTGCCATGCATGTGGTCTGCCACAGAAGCGTGGGTTGTATTTTTTTTTCTAATTTGACTAGGAGCATATTTCCCATTCTAAATCCTTAATGAAGACAAAAGGCCTGTATTGCAGGGTAGGAAGATACTAACCCGAAACATATTATTAGCTGGGAAGACTCATTCTCCTTATGTCTGTTTTTGAATGGCTTAACTGAGGAAAAGAGATATCTTCTGTTAATGGATTTTTGAATAGGGCAACAATGATGGTAGAATGGTGGAGACACTGTGATGCCAGCTTTCTTGGAATGTTTCCTTAAGCAGTTATTAAAGTGATTGTAACCAATTCTGTTAAAGATCAGGGTGCTTTGATATGTTGCTTGCATAGCAATCTCTCAAGGGAGGAAGCGAGTGTTTCATAGACTCCACGTTTCATCTCCCACAAAGTATTTTACAAGATACAGCAGAAGAAAAATACTCAGGTATTATCTGGATATTGTTCACATACACTAAGTAGGAAGTGAACATTTTAGCTTCATTGCCTCTTCCAAACTATCCCTCTAACAAAACTCTCCAAACTATCCCTCTAACATTCTCCTAAAGACTGCAACTTGCCTCATTTCTATGTTGTCTTCTCTGCTGAACTTTTCTTGATTTAACTTTTGTACCTCCTCCTTATACTGGTGATTCTGGATAAGCATGAAGTGCATGCTTTAAAAAATGAAGGGAGAAATGAGGGGAATAGGGCCTGGGAATTGTGGTCCTTTCAACTTAACATCAATTTCTAGTAAAACATCAAAATGAGAAAAATGTTTTGAAATCCTTGGAGAAGACAGGAAAATGAATTCTCATCTACGGAGATGTGTAAAGAGCAAATCTGTCAAACCAATGTAATTTCTTGCTAAAATAAAGCCCTGCAGAAAGGAAAGATATAGCAGATGTCATATTTTGCATTATTGTAGGGCTTTTGACACTGTTTCACATGACATTATGAAGAGTCTCAGAAGATAGTCATGACACAATGGATGTAAAACTATACGTAAAACCATATTCAAAGAGTCCAAGAGTCACTAGCAAAAGAATTTACCAAGTATGGCTTGCAGAAAGCTCTCTTTGGCACTGCCTAGGACTTTCACTTGCAACTTTACTGATGAAATACAGGAGTTGCTTGTTAACTTTACAGATGACTAAGAGGGGATGCAGTCATGCCGAGGGCTGGGTTAGAGATGAAAATCAGTGAGTGATGCGCTGTCATTCTGCAGGAGATTTAAAACAAAAAAAAGCATATAGCTTTTTTATGAATATATGTGTCTGTTTTGTCAGTGTACTAAAGAAATGTGAAAAGTTAGCATCTAAAATGGCAAGAAAAACATGGGTGATTTTAAGATTTGAAATGTCTGGTCCTTACATGCTATAATTTGGTAATGGAAGCTTTCATTTGTAGAATAATTTCTTCATTTATTATTCAATCATTGGGGGGAGTCCCTCTTTTTTTTTTTTTTTTCTTTAAACACTGAGCAAGTCCACTGAACCTTACAAATTTCCTTACTCTGTTGTTAGAGCCACAAACCTCTGGCATAAAAGTCAACAGAGTTTTTGTCCCTGCAGGAGTGTCTACATGTGGTCGGCTGTGATTTGTTCTCTGCGGAATTGCGTTTCAGGGCCATGGGCTAGATTAAGGCAAGACATAATAGTTAAAGTTGGACAGGCTGGCATCTATGTGTTTGGTACTCATGGCACTTGTCCAGATCTATGAGCTTGCTCTTTAGATGAATGTTGTCATCAGATAACTGTAATGAGGCTGTTCGTACTGTATTTTTGGAAGCAGTGCAGTATAAAAGTCTTCAGTCTGCCGAGAGCTAGATATTTGGCCAATCTTCAGCTTGCAGTGTATAAACACATTCCTCTTTGTTTTTTCTTTTTATTCTTCCCACTTTTCTTTCTCCTCCCTTCCTTCTCCTCAAGGACATAGACTTTGGCTATATTTTTCATAGTTGTGTGAAGCTAGAAATCTGAACGGATGCCTGTGCCGCCACCACCACCTCCTCCTCCACCACCTCTACCACCCTCTGGAGGGCCTCCTCCACCACCACCTTCTGGAGGGCCCCCTCCACCACCACCTTCTGGAGGGCCCCCTCCACCACCACCACTGGTAAGATTGACTTTTTATTTCTATTAGGAAAAGCTTAGCTATAGTAGCCAGCTCGGAGCCCACAGGATTTTGGCATGGATATTCACACCAAATACCTGGGGCAGATGCTTGTTTTGCTGCCATTTGTTCTTCTGTTCACTACAGCAGTGGTCTCCAAAGTGATGTGTGTGAGATGACTCATTAATGTGCAGGAAGAAAACACTAGAACTTCTGTCATGCTCGTGTATGATTTAAAAATAAATAAACATATGTATACTGGGGTGCATGCTCAAAATTTCTCTTACTGTTGGGGTGCAGGATCAAAACGTTTGGAAACTATTGCATTATGTGAAAATATGGTGAGAATTTAACATTTATGAATACTTCTCCTGCCACAGGGAATTCATTTTTGTACTGGTAATGTGCAGGGTGGAAAGTATTAATTTCTTCATCCTCTTTCTTACAGTTCCTATTAAGACTCAGAGTGTTCAGCTGTAGGTTTTGCTCTTTCTAGCACATGCTGTCTTCCTGGGGACAGAGCACAATATGCTTTTGTACATGTGCAGGAACAATTACCGCTTGTAACAGATCATTACTGTGTGTGTCATGAAGTAGAACATGTGCCTTGCCAGCATGTTTGCAATAAGACGAGGATTCTCTGGACTTTCAGAGTACATTTTCATACCTTCACAATCAATTATTGTACCTACGGTAAAACACGTTTAAGTACTTTATTTTATTCTGCAATCAATTGGGCATAGCCTGTTTCTGCTTTGAAACTCTCAAGACTGTTTTTGAAACAGTAAAACCTGGCATAGTTGTGTTCAAGTCATAAAATCTTTTCCAACATTTTTCATATATTTTTCTGTCACTGCTGTACTTATTTGCAGGGTATGTTAGTTCCTGTAGTAAAACAGTACATGGTACTTCAGCTGTAATTCTATCTTTTTTTTTTTTTTTTAAAACTTCATTTCTCTGTTGCATTTCCTGGCATCTCTGCCTGTTTTGTTCCCAGGAAGGTCTGTTGATTTTGTTTGATAATGTTCATAATGCTCTCATGTCATCTTTCTTTCCAGAAGGAGGTTTACTTGCATGTTGCTCTCTACTACTTTATAGGCTGAACCATTCTGAAAAACTCTCCATGAGTTGTGGAGATGAAGAAGAGGAATATAAAGACAGCAAATGAAATAAGCAGTGTTTGATTCTTTCTAGCATTCAGTTTTAACTTTGGCACCATGAGCACTGTTTTCAATTAGCAATTCTTCTGGGCTGGTACACAGCCTATAGCTAAATGCTGAAATAAGTGGGCTGCATATTGTGAACAGCTTAATGTTCACAGCTGCAATTAAAGTCAACAGAAGCTGCAAATGTTCTTATCCTAAAAAACTGAACTTCTTAAAGTATCTAGAGACATTTTTAGACTGCTCTAACATATGCCAATTCTGAATGACTTGGGAAAGCTAAGAGGACCACTGTGAACAAGTTTGGGGTTGTTTGTTTCTCCTCCTTTTCTGATGACTAAAACCACTACCATGGTAGGATTTTGGTACAAGAAGGCTTACTTTCATATGTTAGTTAGATCATTCTGTTTCAAGTGGGGTGATCTGTGCATAAAATATAGAGAATTTAGAGTCAGTTTTATCTTGGTGATACGATACAAACTAAACATATTTCTAAATAATGTCTGATATTAAAATAATCTAAATAAATCTAGATAATGTCTGATATTTTAGTAAGTGTTAATACTAAAAAGAGCACATGAGCCAACATAAATAATTAGTAAAGTAATATGGCAGAACATTGTTTTTTCTGTAACAGTAAAATGACCTTTCTCTGTCAAAACTGAATGAGGGACAGGATCTGAAATCTGCCTGGTGAGTTCAGCAAAAGCACAGTGTGTCAGCTCTCCAGCTGGGGCCAAGTTACAGAGTAAAATCTTACAGTTGGGGAGTCCACAAACACTTGCTACAGACCCTATTTTCTTTTACTAGAAAGCTCTTTTCTAGAAATTGGCATCTGTATTTTACAGTTGCTAAGCTGCCCAGCTGTTGTTACAGCTGTTAAATTTACCATTGGGGGATGAAAGAAGGAAAAATTTTAACAGGCATGTAGCTTTAAGGAAAACCTTCAAACCAAGTAAGTATTGTTTAGCCAGCAGCTGGAAAAGTTCCAAAGTAAACAGCACTGTGATTTTTATTATACTGGTATAATTAAAGCAGAGTAACATTTACACGTTAGCAATTAAAAGTTAGGTTTTAATTTCACTTCTGATATGCAGGTGAGCCACTAGTTTAACTTACTTGATTTATGTTAAAAGAAAAATGTCTGTGTGTAGGGTGGAGTTTTAGAATCCTGTCATTTTGCATGGTGCCCTTGCAGGAGTACCATAGACTTGTCTTGCTTTTCTAGTTATGGATAATAACCATACTTTCCTCTTGCTTTCATTATCAAGAGATTTTTAGAAGATGTAGTTCCCACATTATGTTTTTCTCTGCACGTTTTCTTTGTGAATACTGTGTGCCACGATCCCAAATAATTTTGCAGTCTTTGCTTTGTGGAAATTCTAAGCACTGTTGGCACTTAACTTTTTTTTTCTGTTAACTCCTTCTTAAGGCAGAATAAAGTTAGGTTCTTTCCTACTGTTTTCTAAGAGTTTTTGGACTTGCTGATGTTCTGTAAGTACTTGTACTGAATTCTGCTCACAAAAGTTGTTGCAAGGCAATACTAAAGTGAATTGGAGATGGTATTTAAGACATGCTAGGAGCCACCTGTGCCCAACAGCTGAAAAGCTACAGGCTGTTAGAGCAAACTTAGAAGAAAATAAAGTGGATTTCACAGGAGGGAATACTGGGGTATCTGCCATAGCAGATGTAGGTGGCTGAGTCAAAATGTAAATATAGCTAATTGGATTAATTGAGCATGTCTTCAAATGCCTGCCTTCAGGGGGTCATAGATAAAGATGAGAGAGATCAGTAGGCAGAATAAAACTGTGCCCCAGTGTGTTTTCTGGCAGTGGCTTACAGAATTCAGATCTGTTCTTGTTCGCTTTTCCCCTCTCCCTTAATAAAGGAAACTTGGAAATGAGGCATTTATGTGTTTGTTCAAAAGCTGTTTCAATTTATGGGCATGTGTGTGTCATGTAAGGTGAGTTTTTTAATAGAGTTTTTTAGTTGTTCTGGGGGAAGAGGGTGGTGTGGTTAGAGTTTTTTAAAGCTTTCTGCTAATGAAAAACTTCTTTTTATTCCCCCTCTGTTTCTTTTAACACTCTTGTCTTTTAGTTTGGCATATGGCATCCTGGTTAGTTTTGGTTTGTCATACTTTCTGGAGGAGGTGCCACCACTGAGACTGATTAAAAATTTTCTTTGCCTAATTTCCCAAGAAAAGCATCAAGAGAGAATTTTGCTTTGATAAACCATGTTCACTTTTCATGTGCAGTGAAGGCTGTTCACTGCCATGTAGCCTGCATATGTATGAATTCCTAATGCTAAGACCAGTCATCACCTATTAAAATGTTAATGTTGAAGGAAGCGTGGATGTGTAGCAGCCCTGCTGGGTTGTGCCTTATTCAGAGAAGATGTTTGTTTAATGATTCATATGTTTGTGGAGTTTAGGAAAATACTTCTGTTCTCTGTAGAATTGTTATTATTAAAGTCTTAGCATAGAAATTAACCCCCAAAATCACAATGGATCAGATGGTTAAAGCCAATAAAGTGGCACCAGGTGTTTATTTGCTGCCTTATGGCATATTGAAAACTAGTAGAGCAGGAGAAGAAAGGAATATGCTTACTTTGGTGATAGAAATGTGAAACTCGAAATAATGATGAATGCTAGACTGGCATGTAGATTATTCTTAATGATTACCTCATTCTTATTTAGTTAAAATTAAAAAAAAAATTGAATTACTGTTGTCAGTGTTTGCGAAGTTTGTTATTCTGATCTTATTTTCTACTCTTGTAATAAGAAATTCAGAAAAGCAATTCATCATGATATAACACTGTGATAAATGCCTAATTTACACAGAGGAAGGATTTCCAAGGCTCAGAAAAACATCACCAGATAGTGTTCCTTTTGCGGGGGGGGGGGGGGGGTGAGGGTTGTTTTTTTTTCTCCTTCATGCAGCTGTTAGAATGCAAACCTTGCTGAGCTGTTTCCTTCAATCTTCCCAAGAAATTCAGAGAGCTACAGTGTTTTTCTGAAGTTGTGTGGGAGTTGGTTTTGCTCCTATGACATTTAGCACTACTGTTCTGTGGAAAGAGAACAAACAACATATGTAAAACATCCCGGCTGAAGATAATGATGATTTATGGTATTTTGATTTGGTCTTACCAAATATAGTATGAGAGAATGTGTGCATACGCATAAATGTTTGGGCATACTTGCTAATTATTTATTGTAAAAATTAAGGTAATTTCTCAGGTTTTCATTCAGAACCCTAGACATGCAAGTGTAACACTGAAAGAACAGAATCATGCATGGTGCCAATTACAAAATATGTAGAAATGTGTTTACTAAAATTTTATGCAAGCCGTGAGTAAGATGATATTTATTACTTTGTCATGGAGTTCCTAGGCCAGGAGGTACTAAATCATAATGTTTATTGCTGATAGGTAAAACAGACTGGAGTGAGAGGGAGTGCAGCTTAGTAATCTTGTTGATAACTGACGGTCATACAGACTGTGCTAAGTGCTGGGCAAAGCATGGCTGAAATTTTTGAGAGTGTTTTGTTCCAGCCAAAATAAAGGAAACTGATTTATAGTATTTTAATATATCATATCTCACACCAGTCTGCTTTCAGAAAAAGCAAGAGGCAATTATGTAGAAAAAAATGCTTTGTCTTTGTGTAGTTTATTTGACTTAATTTTCAGCAATTGGAAAATGGGGAACTGCATAGCTATGTCATCTCAAAGTGTTGCTGCTGTAACCTTCTACTCCTGTAGTCAACAAACACAGAAAGGGCAAGCAGGAACTGTGAAGATGTAAAGAAAACATAAATACTAGGTTGGCATTGCTCTGTTTCATCTGGAGACAGGTACAGGGGCATGTACTGCTAAATGTCATAGGAGCACATAGGTGCTAATCTTGAATGCTTTACTGAGATCTGTTAGGTCACCACTTTTAATGTATTTAGGTGGTGAGTTCTGTTTTGCAGGTTTCTTCATAATGTCATGTGTTCTATATGTCTGAATGGAATGGAAAGCATTTAAAGAGCATTCTTTCTCTTTATTTTTAATCTGTGTAATTTCACACACACAGGTATGGAAATTGCAGCATGTCGTAGAGTTACCAGCTGTAACTGGTACCTGTAACCAGGCCCAGGTACTAGAAGCAGCCTAGCTGCAGAGAGCTAATAGGTTAATTTACCATTCTAATCACAAGGTAATAATGCCCTAAAAAATCAGTGCCCCATCTGTAGTGTATGCAATGGCTACATATTAAATTCCATCTGTCAATTAATATTATGCTTGTAGCCTTTTAATTAAAAGAGAACTCAGAAGTATAGCAATACTTGAGTAAGACTTCTCTGCGTGGCCGAAAGGTGACAGTGCAAGAAATGCTAGTTTCTTGTTATTCTCCTCTCTGAGGCTGACCATAATTTTGTCTGGATGCTAAAAGGCATTTCAGAATGGTCAGTAGCTTCTGCACATGTAACTGGGTAGGAGAAATGGCCTACTGTTCTTAGAACAGAGAGAGATTAAACTGTGATGTGTGTTAGCAGTCACATGTTGAATTTTTTGTTGTTACTGCTCATGGTATTCCTTATCAGTCTGGGGACCCTTTTATGACAGACAGAGAGAATAAACAGCGGTAGTGTCACCAGCTCCCATGGTGGTGTTTTCAGCCTTGTGCTGTTTGACATTTTCATTGCAATGCCAGGGTCTCAGGATTTCTTGTTCACCTAAGAGTTTTCACTTCTCTTTTCATTGATGCAGAGAAAATCAGAGGAATTTGAATCCCAAAAATTTAGAAATCAAAAGATGAAGTTCAAACTTATTTTTGAAGCCAGCCTTGAGGTATTTCTGGTATTTGACTTGCAATCTTTCTGGACTGGTGTAAAACACTTTTAGAGTAGTTTAAATTTTATACTGCCTCCATTCTAGCAGCTTCTGTTACTGTGTATTTTTTTAAATGAAAAAATAGCCAGAATTTACATTTCAAATGTGGGTGTCAGAAAGTTAAACACCAAAAGAAAAGCTCAATGGCTCAGCAGGTATAAATCATCATACTGATTCTGTTGCATTTTTGTATTCAGGTACAGAAATTTAGCAACCCACATTGGAAAACTTTTAAGTATGCCCTTGTTAATAAGTCCGCTGCTCCATTTGAGGCAGGAGCAAGAGAACATTTCAGTATACAAAATTTTATATTTCTGACAGAACAGTGCTAACATAGAATGCGGAGGGTTTTATTGGGTGCAGTGTCATTGATTACTGGTAGTCTTTGAAATGGGCACTAGGAATATAGATGTGAAAGAAAGTAACTCCTGCTATGCTATTTTTTTATGTTCTGTTCCCTGCCATTGTGTGTGCTGGTAACTTCAAGCAGGTAGATGCAAATTGCAGAGCAGGCACCAGGCTTTGCTAATACTGAAACGCCTCTTTATTTGGGACTAATGCCAGGACTAGGCGGTGGCTGTAACACTGGGAAGAGATCTGTAACAACTTTTGCACAGTACTTCCCTTGCTAGAAGTTGAGCAACAAGGTCTGTGTAGACACAGCCTATCTAAGTACACACATTGCTCGATGACCTTTTCAACCCAGCAGGTTCAGATTGTAGAACTTTGGGCGATGGTGGCCAAGATCATGGTTAATCAGTATTGAGCTGGGTGTAGATGGAATTGTCAAATGCTACTCCTGTCATTCTCTTGAAACAATAATTTCATTAGCTGCCAGGAAGCTATTTGGCAGGTCCCCTCTTGTGGATTCTCTCAGAAAAGTTGGCTGGAGAGTGACCCCTCACCTGGGAAGCATTTGAAGCTCAGCTTGCTAGGAGACTGAGAGATTGCCGTGTTTAACCAGGTAGACCAAGTGCCAAGAATTAATTAGTTTCATCCTATGCTATGCAGCAGAAACACAAGAAGAGGCTCTGATCTTGAGATTGACTGTGCAGGTGGAATCTTGCACTATGGTAAAGTTTTCCATAATTAAAGACCTTTAAGTCACAGGTCAGGGCTCCCTTGTGAATAGAACCAAAACTCGCACGTACCAATCTCACAAGCTTCTTTAGAAACAAACAGTTAAAAACATTTAAAATAAAAGAAGTCATCTGCTTTGTTGTTGAGTCTTGTTGGATTTTCCTTAAGGTGGAAGGGAGGGATTGTTTTGATTATTTTATTTTGCATTTGACAGTGCATGAATGAAACTACACCTGATGCATATGTAACATAAATGCAAGAAGGATGATAATGCTGGAAACTGTTTTATTATTTTATAAGCTACTTGTTTTTGTTGCTATTGCTTTTCTTGGCACATTCCTCGTGGAGACTTTAGCTGCTGGTTTGAGAATTCTTTGTAGAAGTACCACTCTTGCCTACTGGGCAAACTGCTTCTGCTGCAAATATAAAATCATGAATTCTTGGCACAATTCTAAACTAGTAATAGTGGATTGATCTTGGGAAAACAAGTTCTTCTGGGGTTTCAGATTTCATGTTGAGCTAAAAATGCATAGATGACTTTTATGATCCTGTGCTTTGTCAAGGAAGACATGCTGGTCAGCTTCCATGTTTTACTTTGTTCCAAAACAACATCATTCTTTCAATATAAAGTTATGACATTGTAGTTTGTTAGAATGTTCTGGAACCTTACTGTCAATATTATTTTGTTTCTGTTAGTTCTGGTTTTGAGAAGGATGAAGTCTTTTAAAGGCTAAATTTATTTAAATACATTAGTCCTGATGGTTACAGGGGTCTCCTTATGGAACACTTGTGGTCAGCAGCTTCTGGTTAAGTGGAAGGAAGTTATGAACTGAGTCGATCACAAGCAGGTCTTCCTGTTCTAAGTCCATTCTTTTTCATCATCAGTGTTCCCTGAAGGGTATTTTAGCAGATTGTTGCCCCTCGAGGCCCCTTACTCAAGGTCTGTGCCCTTCAAGACTGTTGTGAGCACCAACCCCATGCCTGGCTTTCCTTCAAAGGAATAGGAGCTTT